AGATGATGATTTTGTAGAAGATGTGCCTATCAGTAAACCTAGAAAGAAAGCTAAGGTGGCTCCCAGTTCAAAAACTCCCAAAAAGAAGAAAAATTCAAAAAAAGCCCCTAGTGCTAAAACTCCTCAAAATGTTCGAAAACACTCACTGGTGAAGGTAAGAATTTTTTAATTTCTTCAGTACTTATTTCGCCTGTTTTAGTTGGTAAACATCTACAACTCTGTGGTTTTTTTGATTTGTAGATTTTTGTAGAAATATTGTATATAAATTGCATATGTATCTATGTTTTTAAGCACTGAAATAATGTGAAATTATTTGTCTTAATTTTGTAGTTTAATTGTAGATTTGTTGATCTATTTTAACATTGTTGTTATATTGTATAATTTTGAAGTTATTTTGTAGAAACATACAAATGTATCAGTGCTTTTTAATTACTGTATTAATGTTAGATTACATTTGTTGAATTTTGCAGAATGGACATTTTTTTGCATCCCATAATGTTGATTATGGGGTGCTTAGATTCCAGACATTATGTGACCCTAGCATTCCTAGCCAAATTAAAGCGCTTTTATCTCCAAATGGTTTGAAGCTATTCAAGAAGACATGTTTTGGTTATTTACTGTCATTTCCCAATATATGCATGCAAAATCAAGCTACTCATCTTCTTATGAAGTATGAATTGAAATCATCTGATGCTTCCTATTTTTCAGCTGAGTTAAAAGGCGAGAGGTTAAATTTTAGATTAAGAAAGTTTGCAGTAATAACTAGTCTTAGATGTCATACTGAGGTGATAGACTTTGGTTACACTCCTAGTTATGTTAGTAAGTTAATATAGCAGTTACTTTCTAAACAAAGTAAAAGGGGAGAAGACATACCTAAAATAGATAGTAACAACCAAAAGATGGGTGAATCATGAGGATGCAGCCAAGTTATGTATTCTATATCTCATAGAATACTTCATTTGTCCTTCAGAGAGAGACTATATTGGGTTGGTAGATCATTTTAGATTTTATTTGGTTGAATCCGATCAGTACGAGTCATTTCCATGGGGTGTTCAGTCTTACAGACACCTGATTGAATCTGTTAGGCACAGGCTAAATCCTTCCGTTCATTCTTATCTCATTCGAGGATTCCCACTAGCCATGCAAGTATAGTTTTATGAGTGTTACTCCTCCGTCAACATTGATATAGCTACAAAGATTTCTAATTCAATCCCTCGCATACTAAATTGGTCAGCTGCTAAGGGTCAGATTTGGTTAGCTGCGATTGAAGGCAAAATGATCAAGCCTGAATGGATGAAGGTAAATGGTCTTTATTCATTATAATACAATGTATCTACAAAATATCTACATTTTGTATACATATTCTGTCTCAAACAAGTTAATTTATTTTTTTCATCATTCAGTTCACCAACATAAATGAATCACCTGAAGAGCTTTCAGTGATGTCTTTGCCTGATAAAGTTGAGTACATAATTGAAGAGGTGGAACATGTTTCTGAGAATCCAAAAGTTGGTGCCCCTCCATTGGAACCCAAAGAATCAATTGGAAAAGAGGAAAAGGAGTCTATTCTTCGTAAAATAAAAAAGTTAAAAAGAGGTGTTGAGAAGGTAACATGCAGTCCTAATAAAGCATTCTGATTTTTATATAATAGTATATCTGTATTTTAATACATATTTCTATAGGTAACTATATATTTTTTATTATGTAGGTCGATGAAAAGCTTGAAAAACTTAGGGAAGATGTATTTGAAGAACTAGGTAGCCTTCGAGACCTAATAAAGGAATTAGTCAAGACTGTTTTGCAGGTGATAAACAATCCAAATGATCAAGTTGATGTAAAGGTAACATTTGAATCTTAATCATATTAACAAAACTATTTATGTCACCTCTAAAATATATATCCTAACTAATATAAAACTTACAGTTTGCTGGGAGTTCAACCAAAAATACTAACCAACCAAAAGACAAGAACAATCAGCAATTTCAGTTCAATAGTGGTGAAACAATGCAGGTCAGCCCCAGCAAAATAGGTATTTACAATATATCTCCAATATATCTACAATTACATACATAACATCTACAAAATAACTACAAAATATTTGCAACATAACTACAATTTGTCTACATTATATATACAAAATATATACAATTAATTCCAGCTTATTTACACAGCAATACAGATTTATGTACATATTATGACACACCTTCATATCTTCATAAATTGTCAAGCCAAAACTATCCAGTATTATTTAATATTTTTAATAAAAAAACATAACATGTTGAATGTGCGCATGGTGAAGAAAATCATCCAGCACATGTTGATTTATATACACATTTTGAAGGGGTTGTTGATGAAGAGAATGCAGATTTGAAATTGTTTTCAGAGATATTTTCTTTTTGTTTCAATATTTTTACCATTCTATTAAGTTATATATACATGGTGTTTCAGAGAGGGAAGATCTGCATGCACAATCTCCAATTCGTGGAGTGACAGTAGCAGCTCAAACAGAACAGCAGTACTCGGAAGATGACAATGTAGGTGAAGAGGTAGAGTTTGTGAATGTAGGTGATTCAGAAGAATTCGGAGGTGAGAAGAAGGAGGTTACGCTTGATGATTTCGAGCTGTCTGATAACTTCTCCCAGTTGGTTAAGTTCGGCGAGCCTATACAAGATGAAACAACACCCGTGCATCAAGGTAGAACAAGGCAGCCGGGAAAGTATGCCCGATCACCATTTCTCCCTTTATACTCTTCTAGTGGCAGTACCTCGGTTGGACCTCTAATATTCCACCTCAAGCACCCGTTTACTAGTGTTATTGGTCAAAATGTAGACCCTGAGTTGTTGGATCAATTCCACAAGTGGTTATACAATGGTACCGACACACATTCAAAGAGGTTAGGTTGCACAATTTGACACTTATATTCCTGTATTCATCGTTTACACATCCACTTCTTTCAACAATTTTATTTTAATTTCTATTGGTTTATATAGGAGGAAGGCTCTGTATTCTATAAAGGACAACCAAATTAAGCCATGGTTGGATCTTGGAGTTGAAAAGTTTGACAAGAAGGAGTGGTTCTTTTCCCTTGCACACCCAGGACAAGTCATTAACGACTCGGTAATATTCAATGTATTTAATTTGTAGTTTTTTTTGTAGATAAATTATAGATACTTTGTATTTTCTGAATGAATAGATGCTTTGTATTCTGATTGTAGATGTATTGTAGATACTTTGTAGTTTTGTGTAGAATTTTTTGAGATAACATGTAGTATAAATGCAATCTGTTTTTGTTGCAGCACATTAATGTTATAATGTATTACTTGAGAAAAACAAGCAAGTATGGCCCCCACAACAACCTCAGATTAATACAACAGATTGTGTTTTCAAGACTAGGATTGATCATATTTATGAAAAATTCAAAATTCTCCTCAAGAAAAGAAGTTTTCTGTAGTCAAACCCCGGGATGTTTAGCAGAATATATATTGGGGTATAGACTACTCGCAAATGTTGCATGGGATGAAGTTGATTATGTCATCATGCCCGTCAACATTGTAGAAAAATTCCACTGGATGTTGGTTGTTTTTGACATTGCAGAAAGGTGTCTTTATGCGTATGATTCCATGGTCTCTTCACACAATCACCCTATTGTTGAATCTTGTGTCGACAAGTTTTCTATTATTATCCCTTTGTATTTGTCATGCACCGGGTTTTATGGGAAGCGAAAAGACATCAACTTCAAGAATACAAAAGCATACATTGAGAAAGCTGTTACCGACCCTCTTAACATTTAGTGGATAGTCGGAGAGATACCACAGCAAAAAGAAGGATCAATGTAACAAAATTCTTCTTTCTTTCTATACATTTAACCATTTTTTCTGATGGTTTGGTAAATATTGACATTTTGTTATCTTTTTGTAGAGATTGTGGTGTATTTATTGCTGCCTTTGCAGAGTATGTTAGTATTGGAGAATTATCAATTCCCCCAGAAGACCTTTCTGATACTGACTAACACCGTAGACACTATGGAGCGTTACTTTGGGAGTATGCTAGAAAGAAGCAAGAGCTTGGGGCAATTAGTGATAGTGAGGTGACAGGCAAATTGGCAAGGAGGAAAGGTGCACCAGCTTTGAATGAGAAAACACGAGTCCAGAGGAAGAAGTAGTAGTTGTAATCTTTTGAATGGAACATGTAGTACAATTGTGTAGTTGATGCTAGTTTATAAGAAAGATGGTAGACAATTGTTTGAACATTTTAGTTTGTTTTAATTGTAGCAGACTTGTGCTACAATTATAGTAGCCTTTGTTTTTTTTCCTTATCCAGTATTGTAGTTCAAATGGAAACATTCTGTTGGGTTTACATTCACTTGTTGAATCTTTACAGTACTTGATCTTCATTATTTTTAGCATTTAAATCCTTTCCAACTGAAATTTTATACAGTTATTCTGATCTACATTATTTCCACCATAAAGCTTCTTTCTACCAGAATTTTAATCTATATTTTACGTCAGCTACAGATATTTTGTAGTTGTTTTGTAGTTGTATTTGTAGATATTTTGTAGATTATTATAACAGTGTGTTTTGTTTCTTTTATATTTATTTTGTTGAATGTAAACAATACTTCATCTACAATATGGCTTGGTTTTTAACTATTTTCCTATAGATTTATAATGTATATACTCTGTAAATTCCCAATAATGTATTTTTTTAGTAATTTTATTGTAGATAAACTGCAAAAACACATGCAACTATGTAAAGGATTGCATATATAGTAAAAAAGTTTTAGATTTTATATATATATATATATATATNTTACATTATGATCTTTAAAAAAATAACTATTACACATCAACATCTGTTATCCAGAACTAACCAACAAATTTTCATCAAATATTTTGTTAACTACATTAAATTTTATTTCATTTTGGGTGCATTCTTGCAAGATCTTTTGTTATGCCCTTCTCCTTCGCAGTTGTCGCATGAAACCTTGTACTTCTTTGAATTTATTTCATCATATTTTTGTATCTTTCTTTCTGAGGTCTTCCTGGCTGCCTTTTCCCTTCTTTAGGTGGATTTACTACTTTTTCAGTTATATGTTGTGGCACATTCCATTTGCTTTCATCAGGCAGCGGATTTACTGGTATTTCATACGTACACAAGAGGTTCGCCCTTGTGTAATAAGGAGAACAATATTCTTCAAAGGACTCATCCCTTTGTCTTAAAGCAGCCAAAGCATGTGGACAAGGTAGTTCATCAAGCTGGAATTGCCCACAACTACATTTCTTGTTTTCAAGACAAACAATATAGCACCTCACACCATCTATTACTATATGGATGTAGTCTGTTGAAGCCCTCACCTACGAGTACATTACAAACAAAAAAACAATTCATATATGGTTAAAATCAAGCTATATACAAAATATCTGCAAAATATCAACAAAAAAACTATGTTGTGTTGTTTATGAATTTGATTCAATAAATAATCAGATCTTACTCTAAGCTTGTGCGACAATGTTCTGTTGTCATCCAACTCTTTGTTGAATTTGTATCCAAGGTATGTGAATGTACCCTTTGCTTTCAATAATTTTTCTTTCATCCAACGTTCAAGAAGGGTCCTCATATACTCTAATAATTCTACTATCGGCAACTCTCTTGCATATTTTGTTACAACATTCAACGACTCTGCAATGTTTGATGTCATAGTCCAAGTTCTATTCACCGTTGCATGTACTCGAGACCATCTATGATATCCAATATCGTATAAGTATGCTTTAACACGGGGGTCAATCTCCTCAATCTTTGACATCCTTTCATTAAATTCATCAAGTGTGTATGACCGCGCTGTGGCAAAGTATAATTCACTTAGCTTAAGATGTTCCTTCTTGAACTTTGCCCATATATTTGTCCAAATATGCCACATGCATGAATAATGTGGCATGCCGGGATAAATAATAAATGTTGCCTTCAAGATACTCTCATTCCGATCCGAAACAACACACATGTTTGCTCTTTCACCATACGCGAGCTTGAATTGCTCAAAAAACCACTTCCATGATACATTATTCTCTGAATCAACAACCGCATATGCCAATGGTAATATGGTACCTACATTATGTGGCAATAAGCAATTAATTGGCTACAGTAAAAATGCAGAAGAAGACATATATATACAAACTACAATATATCTACAATTAATCTGCAAGTACTAAAAAAGAATACAAGCTACAATATTTCTACTAATAAAACTTCAGTACTTGTTGCATCTATTGTACTGGCTGTTAGCATTATTCCATTGTATGCTGACTTTAAAAAGGTCCCATCAACTACTACAACTGGCCTACAATATTCCCAACCACTGATTGACGTACAAATCACAACAAATATATACAAGAAACAGTCATCGTTTGTCTTCTTCAATTTAACTACAGACCCCGGATAAGTCTTCTCTAGAATATACAAATAACTAGGCAATTTGTTGTAGGAGTCAGCAGGATGACCTCTCAAAAACTGTAAAGCCTTTTCCTTTGCTCTCCAGGCTTGCATGTAGGTTAGATTCACGCTGTGTTCAGACAACGAGTCAAATTGAATAACTTTTGGGGTGTAAATTGTCTTAGGATCAGAATATTTTGGAATAACCATGCTACCAACTACCATGGCAGTAGGTTTGCGTTGTATGAATGTATTGTCCATTAAAGAACATGTGTGTTGTTTGTCGAAATTTCTGACCTTGAACATTGCAGAATCATTTATGCTAGTTGCTTCGAAGTTCCATGTACAGTTTTCACCAACACCATATCAGTCAGTAGCTACAAAATAAATACATTTTAAACAATGGGTTAAAATTTAGATTAAAAAAACTTGTTTTAGCTTAACAATCACATTATACAATAATAAATACAATATAACTATAATTTAACTACAATTTTGCTAAACATTATCACAAGGAAAACTGAAGAAGTAAAAAATCACAAATAAACTACAAAATTAAAAAATAATAATATTTGACTATTCATATGTTCATACCTTCTAGCACTAGATCTTTTAACCCTGAATTGGAACTTGTGCATGATAGAATAGTGCTTCATTGTAGTTGCAATTGTTTCCTTGTCTTGGTATACTTGTCCTACTTCAATAGAACTTGGTGTACTATCTGTTATTATTATACTTTCATATTCCTCTATAATAGGAGATGTTGGCATATCAAGTAACGTTAGTATTCCAGATGAACCTGCATGAAAATAAATATAAATATTGTTATCACCAATTTGTAAAAAAATTGTAGAAAGGTTGAAATTCAGTACTTCATATTAATTTTTCAATTTTTTGTAGTTTTAATGTAGAATAAATCTAGAAATTCTGTAGATATTACAGAAATCCATACTGATATATATAAGTAGTTTATTTGTAGATACAATGTAGATAAATTGTAGTTCATTTACATTTTACCAGAATTTCATAGAAAAAATAACATCGCACACCTACAGTTGTGTTATCATTGGTGATACTCAATTCCATATTGAAATCGCGAACAGTTATACATAGCGGATATGATCTTAAGTTTTTGTTTTCCTTTTTCGTCTCCATATATACACGAACACCCATATCGTTCCTAATTTCCATTGGAGGACAATGCTCATTGATAATGTATTTGATTTCTATAATTTTTTCGGATGTATCAATCATTAATTGTTGTGCTATTGTAGAAATCAATAGACAATAAGTCGCATCGTCATCGACTACAATGCCATCGACCTCGAATTCTCTAAATCTCCCATAGCTATCCCAATTCTCATTCGATTGTAGTATAATTGGTATTTTCGCCATAATTGTTTTTGTTACAGAAGAATTGTCGAAGATTTTGTCGATTTTTATTTGTGAAGTCAGAGAAAATGTTGAAACTGAGTTTAGCGCAAAAAATAGAGTACTGGAAGTTTGTAACGAAGTATACGATAGTGATTACTGTGCGTGATTTGCGTTGGAAGATCTGGAAAATACTTAATTCCCCTTTTTTAGCTCACTTAAATAAGGAATCCTACAGCTATAATGATTCCTTATTTAATGCATTGTATATATTATGTAGAAATACTATTAACATGAAGGGTAATATGCAAACTTTGAACATATTTGGTAATATAGTTTTCTATATGGTATAGGAACAAAAATTTCTCTTTTACTAAACTACTTTGAGATTATGCGTGAAAGTCCTGTGATTATGGAGCACTTTCGCTAAAAGAGATTTCATGCTCATATCCTTTTAACTTCTTATTTCATGCAATTGACCAAGCCCAATTCCTAAAGAGTGAACAAATTAATCACTAATGGGCTTTGGCCTTTTCCCACTTCCCACGATCATACAAGCATTCAACAAAATATTTGGAAGGCAAATCATCATTCAACCAAAACATCTGTCCAAACCACATAAAACTAGCAAGCCAAACAAAATAAAGGAAATATAAAAATGACAAAGCAAGGCTAAATGATGAAAGGCAGATCACGAGTATAACAAGAGCGCACATAGTCAAGCATGAGAAGGTAACCCATCCGATGGCTCACAAATCAGTCCATTTAATGTTGATACCCCATTTTTCCCATAATATTTTCAAAACTATGACTATGCATCAATTAGTATTTTTCATACAATTTTTGCATTTTTAAATATTTTTAACAAATTTCTCCCAGCACTTATTTTATAAAACAATCATTAAATTGCATCACAAAATAGTTTTAATAATTTTTGTGGCTTAATTTTATCATTTGCATTCATATTAAATTTCAATTATTGCACAAATAGCCACATCTGTATTTTTAGGATACAATTGCAATTACTTTGCAATTATAGCCTATGCATGTATTATAACATTATTTTATCATAAAATAGCCTTTTATATTTTTTTTAAATATTAAGCAATTACTTTAAAACATTTCCATGCACGAAAATCATTTTTTATAATTTATTAACCACTTTTTAAAATTGTTTTATCAATTAAATAAGGTATTTAACAAATGGCCCCTATTTTCAAATTTAGCCTAATTGCTCAACCCAATTTTAACCCCTTTAATACCAGCCCAATACCCCTTTAATACCAGCCCAATCCACCCAAGCCCAAATCTGCACCTACCCGACCCAAGATCCCCATCAAATCATAGTTGTTGATCCTTTAGATCAATGGTCCACTCCAATACTTGCCTTTTTTAATCAAACAACCCCCTAAACCCTAGTCATTTCCTCCATACGGCCTTTTTAATCAAACAACCCCCTAAACGCTAGTCATTTCCTCCATACGACCGCCCTTGAATCCCTTCCTCTTTGGTTCTTTATGAAACCAACCCCTAACCCTAATCGTCGTCACCCAAAATCAACCATAATCCTTTGAATCCCTGTCCGATCTATGGCGTCCTATGGTTGTACGAAGCCTCTACTTGTCTCTTATCCACTTGGTTGTTCGATTATGTGGTTTTTGTGGAAGAACCTCGAAGAGATCCGGTCCAGATCTCGTTCAAAGCTCTTCAAGGGTTCGTTCATGGTTTGCGAGTAATTTCTATTGAAGTTCCACGGTTCAAATATCTAGTTCAAAACAAGGTTCTCTTTACTCCTCCCTTTCTCCTCAAAACCCTAATCTTTGGACATGAATTTGTCCTGATCTTTGTAGATCTGGAAGGATTCTGAGTTTTTCAATGACTTTTCTTTAAACATCTCTTGTTTCTTTACTATTAACCGATATTAGCACAATATTTTGGGTTCTTTGCTATCTACTATTTGGATCTCTGCATACTTGAAATGTTTTCAAGTTTCTGTGATTATACTAATTGGTGTAAATTGATTTTGTGACTTCCTTTATTGCAGAAGGGTTGATTCCCTTTACCTTATTTTCCTTGCTCTTAACTACTATATATATTCTCCTTTACTCCTCGCTTCTGGACACGAACACTGATTCATCTACACTTTCACACTCTAAAAAATCTCTCTATTCTCTTCTGTTACTTATAATTCTCACTAACCCAGCCGACTGTAACCCAAGGCTGGCTATTTGCACCATCTCTGCTCTACACTCTATATTCTTTCCTTAACTGGTATGTTCTGATTCAATTCTCATTCTAAAACTATGTGTTTTCTTTATTGCTGCAGTCATTAATTGTGATTTCCAGTTCTATTTGCTATTCTACTGTCATATGCTCAATATGTAACCAGCATGCTTAGATTACACTACCTAGTTACTGTATCACTCAGTATGCTTAAGTTTATTCTGTTAAAAGCTATAACTAGTATACTATTTAGCATGCCAATCCCGCTTTAGATAATTTGTTCACTAGTATGTCTAAGTTGCATTGTGTGTTTACTGTCTCACCTAGCATTTCTAAATTCTACTTGTTCTACATGTGATTAGTATTTCTAAAACTTAGAATGCTTCATGAAGTACCTGTCTAGTTTGTTCAAGTCTAATGAAATCCTATTAAGACATGTAACCCTTTCAAGGGTACTCTAGTTGTGTGTATTGGTCATGTCTAAGACCCATGTGTTCTCAACATATCTTTGTAACTAACTTGTCAATTCCTTAACTTCTTGAGGAATCTGTGTATTTGTTTGCTATCACTAAGGTGCATTCTAGGTGTCCCCTACCTCTTTCTCCCTGTGTGAAGTCTGTTTGCCAAAGTGTTTTCTGAAGCTATTTTGGGACTGGTATTCTGATTTCAAGATATTCTTTTCATGCTTTTCCAACTACTGTTTATTCAAACCAGTATAGGTTTTTAGAAAAACTCTTTTCACTCCTAAGACCTTTCTTTATACTGCTTACTAAACTCTTTCAAATCATTATGCACCCTCACATTACTCTTAGAACACTAAGTCCTGCCCCTATGATATGTGTACTGCTTTGAGACCCTTGAGATCTCTTTGAACTCTGGCATATCAGGGTTGACATTTCTACACTGCACATAATCAGTCTTTGTTTGAGGAAAGTCTGTGTGTGAGCACTGCTCGGGGTCCTTGAGGTCGTTAGGGAAATCTGACACACCTAGACATGAATTGGGCTATGAAACTTTGGGCATTTGAGACTAGTGAAGGGTTGGTACACCTGGATTGTTTTCGTCCTGCTTCAGGCTCCCTATAGCTTAATTTCTATTCTATTTATGTAATTTATATTCAATTCTTTATCTGTAATAATTATTGTAAACAAACATTAGGGTAATTAGTGAATAAGGGTAGGTAGTTGTATATTATGGGTAAAATTAGGTAGATAACATGCATATAGGGTCCATTTCGATTCAAATGTGTTGTTAGATGACATCCCTATAGGGGCTCGTTTGGTTCACATGTATTTGTTAGAATATGCCTATATGATCTGCTTTGGTTTTAATGAATGCTGCTTGCTCTACTTTTATATACTTAGACATCATGCATATAAGATTAAAATCAGTTTTTAATAATTAGATACCATGCCTATAGGATTTAAAATTAGTTGTGATAGAAATCATGCCTATAGGGATTTCGCTTTGGTCAAATAAATTCTACTTGCTACGCCTTATGTTCCATTAGGAATCATTCCTATAGGATCTAAAACCAGTTTAGTCAGATTTAAAATCAGCTTAACTCATACAGATAAGTTCTAAATCGGTTTAATTAAATAACCTACTCTTTTCAAGTTAATCAATATCAC